TGTTGTGCATGAGCTAACGAGGCGAAAGGTATCAGATTGCAAATCAAATATGATCATCCTCATAGCTTTGACGTTGCACATTAGTTTTTCCTTCTCATCTTGAGGAACTTTCTCCACGTCAATCATAAGCTGATTGTATTCCTTTTGCGTCTTGATGGTTCTATTCGCTCCAAAGTGAACAAATGGACATAAGGTGATCGTCTCTCAGATAAGATAACCGTAATCCTCTGAACCAACAACATAGTCCTCAAAGTGATGCGTCCAGACTTCATAATCATGAGTGTATAAGATCGGGATTCTAGTTGTAGATCCGATACTGTTGGATATGTTGATAGGGTTCGAATGAGATTCATCGTAAGACATGATGATTTTGTTTGATAACCTACCAAGAATCAGACTAGTAAACTGAATTAGGGTAAGATCATGATCTAAGAGCAACGCCAATGGAAAGATGGCGACTCTAACAAATACGATAATAGCGGAAACCCTAAAACCTTCTTCAACAGAAGAGATGCATATGGATTACACAGTCTCCTACTCTGATACCAAATAATAAGTTTAAAAAGTTCTTTTTAGATCGTTTGGATCCTTGACAAGTAAATAAAAATTAAGCAACAGTAAGAACACACAATGAATTAAACAAGAGCTGAATGATTAAAACAACATTACCTTAAAAGAGCTCAATGAAGAACTTCTACTATCGAGGTGTGCTGGGGTTACAATATAATCAAAAGAATAATCAAGAAGACTTTCACCAACGATGCATGCATGCATCTTTTATACTAAACCCTATTTACAAAAACACAGTTGGACAGGCCCAAACCGTGAGATTAATGGAACTAGCAAACGAGCCCAATGACACAACTCCCACACTCAACATATCAGCCTAACCTAAATATGCATCAGAGGAGGTGGTTGGATGTGGTGAAAGACTATGACTGTGAGATCCTGTATCATCCGGGCAAGGCTAACGTGTTAGCCGATGCCCTGAGTCGTCGAGCAGAGAGTGCCCTGATTTGAGATTCTCAATCTATTCTGGGGCCACTAAGATTTATCTGGATCTGAAGAGAGATTACTGGTGGCCCTGTATGAAGAGGGATTTTGCATGGGTAGTTGAGAGGTGCTTGACATGCCGCCGGGTCAAGGCAGAGCACCAACGATCACATGGTCCATTGCAGCCTTTAGAGATTCCACAGTGGAAGTGGGACCACATTACCATGGATTTTATCACTAAACTACCGAGAACGGCGTGTGGTGTTGACATGACTTGGGTGATTGTGGACCGACTGACGAAGAGTTCTCACTTCCTTGCTATTAGTGAGAGCTCTTCTACAAAGAGATTAGCTGAGATCTATATGAGAGAGGTGGTAGCATGGCACGAAGTGCCGATCTTGATAGTGTCGGATTGAGATGTGTGATTTACTTCTAGGTCTTGGAAGAAATTCACGAGGAGTTGGGCACGTGCCTACATTTCAGCATTGCGTCCTACCCGCAGATAGATGGACAGAGTAAGCGGATGATACAGACACTTGAGGACATGATGCGTGCATGTGTCATGGACTTCGGAGGAAGTTGGGACACCTACATACCACTGGCTGAGTTTTATTACAACAACAACCACCATTCGATTATTTGTATGCCTCCATATGAGCTTCTTTATGGGAGGAGGTGTTAGAATCCCATTTGTTGGGGAGAGGTGGGACAGAGAGTGATGGGTGGCACCGAGATAGTGCTGAAGACAACTCAATAGATTTAGCAAGTCAGACAGAGGCTACTGACCACACAGAGTCACCAGGAGAGTTATGCGGACAGACGATGATCTGAGCTAGTGTTTCAGGTCGAAGAATTTGTACTCCTGAAGGTATCCCCTTAGAAGGGGGTGATATGATTCAGGAAATGGGGAAAGCTGGGACCCCGATACGTCAGTCCTTTTAGAGTGATCGCCAGAGTGGTCAGGGTAACATACCAGTTGGAGCTACCTACGGAGTTGAGCCAGATCCACAACACCTTCCATGTGTCCCAGTTGAGGAAGTGCGTAGCGGATGAGACGACAATAGTACTGCTAGAGGATATTCAGGTAGATGCGCGCCTGAATTATATTGAAAGGCCGATCGTGATTTTGGATCGAAGGGTGAAAGTTCCGAGGAACAAGGAAGTGCCCCTGGTCCAAGTCTAGTGGCAACATTAGAGGGGGTTCGAGTTGACTTGGTAGCCGGAGTCAGAGATGCGGGAGCAACATCTAGAATTATTTGCGGAGCATAACTTCGAGGGCGAATTCTGATTCTAGTGGGGAGAATTGTAACATCCGGAATCCCAGGTACATCATTTTGATTATTTATTTTTGAATTTTATAGAGTGACTCAACGAGTTGGTGCTATGACTCATCGAGTCGTATTGCGAATAACCACGTGGGTTTAATGATCTACTCGACGATGCGACTCGCCGAGTAGGCGCTGGAATGAGAAACCCTAAATCCCCAGGTTTGGGACCTATTTAAAGGCACTTATAGCCTCCTTATGCGGCCACACTTCACAGAGAGAAACCCTAAACCTGCCCATTCGTTGTGTAGAGAGAGAGACCAAATTTATCATTCTTGTGCTTTTTGAAGGAATATCTAAGGAACATTGTGGATCTTATCAAGGAGAGGCTGTGGATCTAATGTTCTTCTATCATTAGCATATGTTCAGAGGTAAAAAGCTCTCACCTTGGCCACATATTTCGTTAGATCTCATTTTTGGGAGTTTTTAGAGTGTTCTTCCAATCATCTTGTGTCCTTGCGTTATTTGAGCATGGTTTGAGGTTAGAACCTCAGATCTGGACTATAGGAGGCCTTGAGAGTCAAAAGATCCAAGCTTTATTGAGCTAGGGGCAGGCTCATGAGCATCTAACCTTCCTTTAGAGCTTGTAATGGCGTTATGGAGCAAATATGTCATGCATGAACAAAAAGTTCAAAGCTTTACGTGACAATCGAGCCTAGGGAACCTAGATCTAGTTGTTGGAGTGATAGATCTACCCTAAAATGTCTGAATGGGAGTAGAGACTGAATGAACTTGCTGAGTCGCCTAGGGTTTATCCCGATAAGTCTGAGCATGTTGTAACTTGTCAAGTTAACATGTCAACTTGATGAGTAGAGTTGGTTTTCATAAGGTCTCTAAAGGAAAGAGGGGACTCGATGAGTCCTCCTGATGCACTCGTCGAGTTGGGTCAACATGGACTGTTGACTTAAGTTTGACTTCGGTTGACTTTTAGAGTTTTGACCAAATACTTGTAACTGAGACCTTGGAGGGGTAAAATGGTCTTTTACCCTTACCAAGAGTTAAAAAGGGGTTAATATAAGTTTATTAGAACTGTGGTCTAATTAGAGGTAATCATCACATGTATTAGGCGGAGGCTAGATCGGTGATTCGTGTACGAGGTGTTTTAACTTGCTTTCTTTGAGGTGAGTCTTTTCATTATACCTTACCTAGAGTAGTAATTATGTCTGACCAGAAGGTCTTACGTGCTTGCGTGGGTTATGCATTTTCTGTGTGATATATGTGTTGTATGCTATATTATGTGATATTTAGACCGGACCGGAGGGTCCAATGAACTATGAGACCGGAGGGTTCTCAACCAAACCGGACCAGAGGGTCCAAAGAGCCATGAGACTGGGGGGTCCTAACCAGACCGGATCGGAGGGTTCAACGAGCTGTGGGACTAGAGGGTCCCACTGAGACACATTGACCGGAAGGTCTTACAGAGCTATAGCCTTGAGTGGCTAGTCATTTGTGTGTGGTATTTTGGGGAACTCACTAAGCTTCCTGCTTACCGTGTTGTGTTATGTGTTTCAGGTACCTCCGAAGATCGCGGGAAGACACCGACTTGATTGTACACACACATACCAAGCTGGAATTATGTTTATTATGGATCCTGAAGTTGTGAAAAACTAATTTGAAATATGTTTTGACATTGATACTTAAAGTTTTGAGAAATATTATATGTAATTTACCATGTTTTAAAAAGAAAAATTGGTTGAAAATTTTAGGTCGTTACAATATCTCTTCCAATGTTTTCCCAAAACGACAAATTTGATGTTTAATGACATGATTTCTTTTTTATTGAAATATGTTCTTTTTGTGTATTATTTACTAGTCTTTCCATGTCTAATGATATTTTGACATGTGTTTAAATTAGCAGCAATTGCTTAATAACATTTTGAAGATCAATGAGGTTGATGAATTTTTGAAGATTACTTTGATAATTATTTTTGAAATAGTTATAAAATTTACCTTTGCCTCTTTTTGTAAACCGTGATGTCCTCATATAAGCATCTTAACACTATTTGATTTTATTAGTTAAAAGAATTTGAAGTTTGAGATTTTTTCTGCAGTTATTAGTTCAATATATTTAAAATTATTTTTAAAAATGTTTCAAAATTTCTATTTCAAACGATTCATGCAATAGATGTTTCACAATTTGACGTTACAATTCATTGAAGATGCACCATGAATCTTCTAATCTATAAGAGATTGTAGTGGGTTAAATTGCGTGAAAATAATGTATTTACAAATATTGCTTTAAGCATATCCAAATTTTCTTGTGCTATAAAATATCTCAAACTTTTTTATTTTTGTTTTGTTATGTTAAATTAATTAAAGTCGCAATTTTCAATGAAATAAAAGTTTATAATCTTGGTCCTATTTCGCATAAGTTATCCTTCAAAATTAACAACTTAACATCCCATACTAAAGTCAGAATTTGACTTTCTAGCTCACATATAATTATTGTTCATTAAAATATCAACACTTACGTTTAATTAGTTTGAACTCAAACATCATCAACCAATACTTTCTTGTCACATTTGAAATTAAATATTAATTCTTTTGTTTGGAGTCCTAATAACGTGACAAATTTTCATTAGAACACATTAAACTGTTTTCTAATATACAAAGATTGATGTAAACGTCCAATTATTCATATAAAACATAGGTAAACAAAAAATAAAACAAAAAGTTTTCAGAAATTAAAGAACAAAAATGTATTACAATCCTACTATAATTGAAATTCTTATCTTTATTGATTATAAAAGATTCAAATTGATAATAACTAAAACTGAACATATAAAAGTCATACCAAAAAACATATTTTTCCATCTGCAGGCGCTCTCTATATTTCCGTTGAATCATTCCATATTTCCTTACCATTTTTTTTTTATATTTCATTTTCTTTTTAACCTTTTCTGATTCCTTTGAACCATGAATCACAAGAATCCATTGAACTACATTTCTTAAAGCAGAAAACCTAGTAGCAGAATCATGTCCACACAAAAGTTTGTACTCATCGTGTTCTTGATTTTAGTCTCAGGTAATTTAATTCTTGTTAGTTGTTATCCCTTCTAATTGTTTCGACATTTATAAATGGAAGTTGATAAGTAAAAGCCAGAAATACTATGATTTCAGGAAGAGAAGCCATTGGAGACTTATTGGACTTCGACAAGGAGGTACTTCTCGATTTGAGATCATTCCTAGAACAGGAGAATAAAGTTAATCAACGTGATTACAACAAATGGGACCCACAAGCGTCTTCCCCATGCACATGGCCGGGAATTTCATGCTCCGGCAACCGAGTCGTCGGGATAAACCTCTCCAACAACAATATCGCCGGGAAGATTTTCAAGAACTTCTCGGCGTTGACGGAGCTTGCCTACCTCGACTTATCAACCAACAACATCGGCGGCAGCTTTCCGGTGGATTTGGGTAACTGTAAAAGCCTCAAAGTATTGAACTTGTCACACAACATGATTGATAGTGAGCTTAATTTGACTGGACTTGGTAATCTGGAAGTTCTTGACTTATCTGTCAACAGACTCTCCGGTGATATTTTCATGAGTTTTCCGATGATTTGCAGCAGTCTGGTGGTTGCTAATCTCTCGGCAAATCATTTCTCCGGTGAAATTGGAAACTCAATTGATGGGTGCCCAAAGCTGGAGTACGTCGATCTGAGCGCAAATTATTTGACCGGAAACCTGTCGTTTGGATTCCACAGGTTCAAGGGGTTTGCAGTGTGCGAAAACCGGTTAAATAACGACCTCCAGAACTGGATTTTCGCAGACAACTGCAGTTTACAGGCGTTGGACCTATCGGAAAACGCATTCACCGGAGAAATCCCGACGACCATTTCAAATTGCAAGAATTTAACAATCTTGAACCTGTGGGGAAACTACTTTTCTGGGAAAATTCCAGGAGAGCTTGGAGTAATTCCAAATCTTCAACAGCTTTACTTAGGCAACAACACCTTCACCGGCGAGATTCCGGCGACTTTACTCGGTTTGCAGAACCTGGAGTTCTTGGATTTAAGCACGAACAATTTTGGAGGCGATATACAAGAGATATTTGGCCGGCTAACTCAAGTAAAAACATTGTTCCTCCATTCAAACAACTACACCGGCGGGTTAACGTCATCTGGAATACTCCGGCTACAGAATCTATCAAACCTAGACTTGAGTTACAACAATTTGTCCGGCGAGTTACCGATCGAAGTCTCTCAAATGGAAAGTTTGAAGTTCATCTTTCTTGCAAACAACCAATTCTCCGGCAGCATACCTTCAGAATATGGAAACATGCAAGGACTTCAAGCTCTCGATCTTTCAAATAATCAGTTAACCGGATCAATCCCATCAAGTTTTGGACAATTGACGTCCCTCTTATGGTTGATGATCGCAAACAATTCTTTAACGGGTGAAATACCACCGGAATTAGGGAATTGCAGGAGCTTGTTGTGGTTAAATCTTCAAAACAACAAACTTTCCGGTCATTTTTCACCGGCGTTAACTAACATGGGCAAGAACGCGACGCCAACTTTCCTAGTAAACAGACAAGACGCTCTCATTGCAGACTCAGGAGAATGCTCGACACTCAGAAGATGGATTCCGGCGGATTACCAGCCATTCAGTTTTGTGTATACGCTTCTTAACATGAAGAAATGTAAGGATTTGTGGGATAAGTTGCTCAAAGGATACGGGATTTTTCCGATTTGTCTCCCTGAAACGAACGTTCGAGTAGAAACAATATCCGGATACATTCAACTCAGTGGAAATCATTTATCTGGGAAGATACCTTCAAGTATCGGGAAGATGAGCGACTACAGCATGGTACACTTCGGGGGAAACCAATTTTCCGGCACACTTCCGGCGGATATCGGCGATATGGCCCTCGTCGTGTTCAATATTTCTCAGAACGAATTCTCAGGGCGAGTTCCGATGCAGCTTGGCAACCTCAAGTGTTTGAGGAATCTTGATTTATCATATAACAATTTCTCAGGGACGTTTCCGACGAACTTGAACAATCTGACAGATTTGAGCAGCTTTAATGTCTCCTACAATCCGTATATCTCCGGCTACATTCCAGACACAGGACAACTTGCAACTTTTGAAATATGGTCGTTCCTCGGTAATCCATTGTTACGTCTGCCTTCTTTCATAAAAAATTCAACAAACAGCTCATCTTCTACCAGTGGAAGATCAACACCACCAAAATGGGGAGCGGTTTTGATTTTCATCTTTCTTTTACTCGCCTTCTTTGTGTGTGGTGTCATGACAATCATAATCTGCATGGCCACCAAGTCCACCATGGAACCACCACAGTTTCTTCTGCCGGAAATAAAGCCACGAAATGGCTATGATGACTCTTCGCCATGGTTATCAGATGGGGTGAAGGTAATCCGTTTGGACAAAACCGCGTTCACGCATGCAGACATTTTGAAGGCCACAGGAAACTTTTCGAATGATAGAATCATTGGAAGAGGTGGTTTTGGGACGGTTTACCATGGTGTTTTGCCGGATGGGAGGGTAGTTGCAGTGAAGAAGAAGCTAAGAGAAGGCGTAGAGGGGGAAAAAGAGTTTAAAGCCGAAATGGAAGTATTAACAGGAAACGGGTTCGGGTGGCCCCACCCGAACCTCGTTACACTATATGGATGGTGCTTGGATGGATCCGAAAAGTTATTGGTTTACGAGTACATGGAAGGTGGTACATTAGAAGATGTGATTCAAGATCGAATTGGGTTCCCATGGAGGCGGCGAATCAATATCGCCATTGATGTTGCACATGCACTTGTGTTCTTACACCATGAGTGTCATCCTCCAATTGTTCATCGAGATGTAAAAGCTAGCAATGTGTTACTAGACAAGAAGGGGACGGCTCGTGTGACGGATTTTGGGTTGGCTAGGGTGGTTGACGGTGGTGGTAGTCATGTTAGCACGATGGTGGCTGGGACAATCGGGTATGTAGCACCGGAGTATGGCCAAACATGGCAAGCCACAACAAAAGGTGATGTCTATAGCTATGGTGTATTGGTGATGGAGTTGGCGACAGGGAGGAGGGCGGTGGAAGGAGGAGGAGGAGAGTCTTTGGTGGAGTGGTCGAAAAGGGTGATGGGGCGTTGGTCCTTGATTCCGGTGTCACTTATGGTGTCTGGACTAGCTGAAGGGGCGGCGGAAATGCGTGAATTGTTGCGATTGGGAGTTAGGTGCACTGTGGATGCACCTCAATCTCGACCTGATATGAAGGAGGTGCTAGAAACGTTGGTTCGAATTTCGGCTAGGTCAAAAGGATTTTAAATATGTGAATGTAAATGTAGAAATATGTATGTTGTACTTAAATGTTAAACGTATTAAATTGTAATTAATCTTACTAAAACTCCATTGTAATAACTATTTCTTAGACCATTTCAATCCAACATTGTTTCTTTTACACCAGATTGATGTAAAAAAAAGTGTATTTCATCATCGCACATCATATTGTTTAAATCATTTTCTATTTTAAAAAATTATATTCCCAAATAATTTTAAAAAACAAACTTATATAGATTCTTGGATTCTAAAAAGAACACCCTCAAATTGTCAATTTTTACATGTTTATTTATATTGTTTTTATGTAAAAGCTTTATAAAATTTGTTATAACAAAAATATAAACAAATTAATTATTTGTTCGAATTTGATGTTATTTAATTAAAAATGATATTTTTTAAATTATAAACTATATTTATAAAATATTTAAAATATTGAATAAAGTCAAACATTAAGATAAGTTTTGTATAATTAATTAATATCAAATAATATTATAATGAATAATTATTATGTTTAAGATGTACATATTGTTTGATTAAAGTGTCTAAACTCATAACTAAATTGATATAAACTTGCAAATAGAAGCAAAATCCTTTTTGTATTGCCCTCATAACTAGAAATAACTAGAAATGTGTTGTGATATATCTCTGACTTAACTCTATCTCCTTGGGGGTGAAAAATGTAAGCCTGAGAATCACAACAAAGAAAACGAAATCGTTGGACGTTGTCCATAAGAGGATCCCGAAACGAGGCTCCAACGGTCAAGTCAGTGAGTTCCTTTGAGAAAAAGTTTATAATAGAAAATATGAGACTAGGATTTAAGAGTCGATCTCTTCTCTTGAAGGAGAAGGGGCCTTTTTATACCTGTGGTCACGGGGACAAATCCCTGACAATATATTCTACTTTTTTTAGGCATGGCAGGACGAGGCAACCTTTGATTGGTAGATTGTGCCCCATGGGTGGCTGTTTACGATTGGTGAACCTTTTGAGTACTTTAGTATGCTCTTTGGACTCATTGGACTTAGAGAGGTGGGATCTTGTACATTCCCATTAAGTCATGCAAAAATATGGTCTATTTAGTCATTTTAGAGACTTGAAGTTTAGATCTTGGTTGTTTGGACCATCCTAATCGAGAAAGTTGGAAACATTATCCATCAAAGAGTTGTTGAGACTCAGATCTAATAGTTAGAAGCTTGGACTTAATAGATTAAGTTGAAAATGCTTATTGAATCTGGAAAGACATGTCACGTCTTTTAAAGAGCGCCACGACACCTACATGTTTTCTTTATGTGTGTATAAATTGTCTAAAACAAAACTTAATGGACGTTGGGTGCACGGAAGAGGGCGCTAGGCACATTTTGACAAGAAATTTGACTTTTTGACTAAGTTTGACATTGGGTCAAACTTTAGGGTTTTGGGCCATAGACCAAGTTTTGACATTTGTCTAATGTCTAGGTGGTTCATGAGACCGACCTTTACATTTAATCACATGTAGTTGTGATTTTCGGGTTTCTGCAAGATGAGTCTTCTCATTATAGGATCTTGTCAGTTGCTTATATGCTTATTTGCTTTGTTGTGCGAGGCCTGTTAGGTTGAACCTATTGGGCTGAAACATACCCATTGGACGAGGTCCGCTGGGCGAGGCTTACATGGTTGAAATAGACTGGTTACCATATTATTTGGATGTTATGTATTATATGTGGTATTTTGGAGAACTCACTAAGCTTTGTGCTTACAGTTGTGGATTATATATTTTTCAGGTTGTGCTTCTAGCATTGGGAAGAGTCCAACTTGACCGTGATGCATAAACATCTCATATCTATTATGTTATTTGGCTTCCGTAATTTCTGATACATTTTACTAGTTATCATGATCTGAACCTTTTGATATTTGGGATTTCTATGAAACATAGTTTTGGAATGGTTGATTTATATTTGAAAAATAAAAATAATTTGGTTTGAAAAATGGGACATTATAATTTTTTTCTAAAAAATCTTCCTCTATTCTTTTAGTTTAAGGACACATAATCTCTCGTTTCAATTATACCATTTATAGGCGAACCTATTATCAAAATACATCAACACTGGAAGCATCTACAATGCATTAAATTTTAAAAAATGTGATGCATTATAGTAAAAAAATTATAAAGTTTTTGAAAATTAAAATGATGACGTGACAATTAATTAAACTAACATAATTCAATTTATTGGTGGTTCCCTAATACAAATAACCGATCTACAATGCTTTAAGTGGTTAATGTATTCATATAATAACCTTGTTGTATAGAAAATAAAAAACCTACTAATGCTGACAAACCTCTCAATCCATATATGGTACCGCAACGGAAAATTTAAATATGGAATACAAACATAGTTGAAATTCAAAATAATATTTTACCAAAAATTACGTAATATTTAAAGTTATATATATATATATATATATATATATATATATATATATATATATATATATATATATATATATATATATATTACGTAATTTTCGGTAAAATATTATTTTGAATTTCAACTATGTTTGTATTCCATATATATATATATATATATATATATATATATATATATATATATATATATATATATATATATATATATATATATATATATATATATATATATATAGGTTCATGTGAGACGGCCTAATTTTGTGAGACCGTAAGATGTATTTTTTTTTTTATTTTTTAATAATTTTAAATTTTTTTTTTACTTAATTCAAGTTTCGAAAATAATATTTAAAAAAAGAATTTTTTGATTTTTCTATTTATTTTGCATTTTAAAATTATTTTTAGAATATGTACAGTGTAATATTCTATTTAGAATATTTCACGTATTTTTCAAAAAAAATAGGATTTTTTTTTATTTTTTTTAGTTAATTCAAGTTCCGAAAATAATATTTAAAAAAAGAATTTTTAGATTTTTCCATTTATTTTGCATTTTAAAGTTATTTTTTAGAATATGTCAGAGTAATATTCTATTTAGAATATTTCATGTATTTTTCAAAAAAAAAAACGAGATTTTTTTTTTATTTTTTTTATTTTAAATTTTATTTTAAATTTTTTTTAGTTAATTCAAGTTCCGAAAATAATATTTAAAAAAAGAATTTTTGGATTTTTCCATTTATTTTGCATTTTAAAATTATTTTTAGATTTGGTCTCACGGTCTCACAAAATTAGAATGGTCTCAAATGAATCTGAACATATATATATATATATATATATATATATATATATATATATATATATATATATATATATATATATATATATATATATATATATATATATATATATAAAGTTTTTTGGTTTTTTGAGTTGGCAATAACGTGATGCCAAAAAACTTAGTTTAAAAGTTTCGCTATCTTGGTGCTCTTACATCCACTTCAGTTTATGATTATTTCAATCCATTAAACTCAATAAATTTCAATAGATGTCCTAATACAAATTAAAAATTAATGATGTACACTTCTTCCTATGGTTAGTAAATTCATCTTGATAAAATAGTTGTATATACAAAAAAGTAATAATGGTGCCAAATCTCAACCCATAAACAATGGATAAATAGTTGTAGAACCAAACTTTAAATACACAGTATAAACATAACTTTGAAATTCAAAATAATATTTGGGCAAACTTGCTCTAAATTTTAACGTAATTGCATCCCAAAAACATAATATAAACCAAATTAAATAATAGAAAGCCCTTAGGTTTATAGAGTTAGCGATAACATGATACCAAAAACCAAAAAATTTAGTTAAAAAGCTTACATATTGGATGCTCTTAAACTGTTTCAGTTTATGATCGTTCTCAACATTTGGACTATCGCTATGCATTTTTTTGGTACTAATGTTTAGTTTATTTGGTCCCTAGGCTTTTTAGTATTGATTTTCAGTTGTTGTTTCTTGGTATAATGTTATTAATTATTTTTGTAAGTTTTAGTATGTTTCCAAATTAAGCATGCATGTGATAGTTTTAGATGATTGTTCTACAAATTGTCACTAAGGTGTTGCAAGTTGTCAAAGCTTTCCTTGTTTTGTAAGGATATGTCTTTCCTTTCTCATTAAGAGCATTCAGAATGCATACTTCAATGTGAGAGTGACTGATTTATTTTGTGAAAGTATTAAATGATATTAAATATGTTAAATTGATGTGTGATTGCCGAAGAATGACACTACTTTGATGATTTGTTGAACTTTATATGCAAATAATCATATAAGACTAAAAGTGGGTTGAACCTACAAGAAAAACAAGCAAAAGGAAGCTAACAAACATGGGAGACGAATTGCTAAAGTAATGAAGAAAATGTTGTTGAGAAAATTGACCACTCTTCAATGTTTTGTTCATATCTCAAGATTTGGAGCTTTGATTAAGCTGATTTAAAAAATTTCAAAAACTAGAGAAAATTTCCTAAAACTTTTATGTTTGCATTTCTATTGATTTTTCCGTTTTCATTGCCAATAGGAGCATGAAAGACAAAGGACGTCTGTCAGACGTCGACGTCCACAAGAACGCCAACTCATTTTACACACTTTTGTAGTAAAAATCAAGGACTACAGAAAGCTTGAAGAACATCCCCAAGGATGCTTAGACATGCTACACAACGTTTAAGACACCTACTAGGATGCCGACGAGGAAAATTGCTCCACAAATAAGTTTTTCAGCACCTATTTAAAAGAGATTCAACCCTAATCGACTAAGGACTTCTCCCCTGTGATTTTCCATAGTTTTGGAGGGTTCCAAACACCATCAAACTTTCTCCAAATGTGTTTTTGAAACTCAATTTCTGAATCCGAAGCTATGAATCACGAAGTACATCTATTTCAACACTTTAAGATCGTTCAGCTGGTGGATCTTCATCATTCCATCAAGATACATATTTGGTTACTTCATCCCCAAGGTTTCATCATTCCATAGTTGATTGATTATTAGACTTCATTGGTTTTAAGATTTCAAGTTGGTTTATGAAATTCAGTATGAATTCCATTGTTTTTGTAACATCACAAAAATACGGTTCAAAATTTTCGTTATAAAATCATTTAAGAAAACCATAATCCATCAAACATCACAATAAAATCATAAGTTATGTATCTCAAATCA